CACAGTCGGATCATTGAACATCTCTGATTTGTGTTTCTGAAAGTATGGACATGATATAATGCAATTACTTTTTTTATATATAAATAAATTTTTAACAAAATTACCTGTAAATGATATCAATTTAAAATCTGTCAAGAATACTGCGCTGCAATATTTGGCCATTCTGGAAACTCTTCATTATGTTCATTCCAAGTCCAGCTATGTATAAAAAATTTCCCATACTTTTATTACACATATACTTTAACTGTACTTTTTTATACATATGTCTTTCACGTTTTATAGAAACAAATCATATCTAGACGAATGTTTTGTAGAGCACATAATATAAATCATAGTTTTTCCTGTATCTTATTAAAATATCGTTCGTTCGCGAAGTAGATTTTGCAAATTTCACAAAAAATAGTTCTTTTGAGCGTTTTAAATTGTATCAAATTTTGAGCGTTTTAAATTGTATCAAATTTTTTACTATTTTTTATTTCATCTATATCTGAGTCAATCTATTATTAATTTACTTTATCAAGTCTGTGTCAGATTGTTTTCGCTTTCTTTTTCTACAATATCGATTTCATCAGTATCTATTGCTAAATTAATTGATTTTGTTGTTTCGATATCTTTTATAAAAGTAACATCTTACTTTTTGTAACTAATTTTATTAATAGTCTCTTGCTCTATTTCCCAATTATTTTGAATATTCTCTCAGCTGCAATCTCCTGTTCAATATTCTGATAATTCTGAACATTCTTCCCGATTGTAATCTTTTGTTACTTTGTTCATTTTGAACATTTCGATACCTTTTATAAAATTCTGCTTTTCGTAACTAATATTTTAATCTGTTTCCTAATTACTTTCAATATTCTTCTCATCTATAATCTCCTGTTTAATATTCTGATCATAATATTCTGGATATTCTCACCTATAATCTTCCTCTCATTATTCTGATCAATAATATGTTTACACATGCTACTGCTTATTGCAATATTATTGTTATGTCTCTACTGTTTTGTGTGCTATCAACTTATTAGATTCGTCAAAGCTGTCATTGCAGAGTTTACTGTTTCATATAATTATCAAATGTATCTATCAAATGTATCTTGAAAGTTCAAGTCGCATAGATTCACATTCGACCGAGTCAACAAGCTCGCTTTTTTAGTTCTTTTAATAACAATTGCTTGAATTTGATAGTCCAGAAATTTTAGGTTTTTCAATAGGACATTACAATGCTACGATCTTCATCTGTAAAAATAGCATCTTTCTGCTTTTGATCTAATTGAATTCGTAAAATCTCATCTACTGCTACTGCACTAAGAATCAGTTTACAACTAATATTTAAATAATTTAAACAACGTCTGCATATATTGGGAGGTAAATTGTCATTCGGCTAAATCTAAAAATAAAAAAAAACAATGTTACTATACATTATGTATAATAAATATATAAATTTAAAAGTTTAAAAAGCACAAAATATCACGCAACATTTTAATTTACAATGATCGGTAAACGTCTACTTATTTTTTCAGGAATATAGTTATTTTTGTGTTCAAATATTGTAATAATCTGAAGACTTTTCTCCACATAAACGGCATATTTCAAGTTTCTTGTGAAAAAAATTACATTTTTATCGAAATAGTCTATTTTTGTATCCATTATATCTTTAAAATCAACAAATTCTCTGTTTATAAAATAAATTCCATTAAATAAATAAGAATAATAAATAATATCAAATTCAATATTTTATTCTTATATAAACTGTATGATTTGATACAAAGTATGTTCTTAAAATAAATATGTAATAAATACATATTTCATATAATATTGTATGTATATACATTTACATATTGTATTACACATACCGTTAATAATAATATATATTTAAAAAATATATCTGTGCAACAATAGGTTTTACATGTTTCGATCAAAGTTCATCATATTATCACGTCGCTCAATGTCCTTAAGCTCTAACATATCTGTTTTAAGATGCAATTTAATAATTTCTCTCCAAATGTCCATCCTATGTTGTTCATTATCGATACCAATCCGCCTCAAGCTATTTTCATTTATTCTTAACAATGTCTTTCCTGTAATGTCATGCTTAAAAGATAGAGAAGATTTTTATTATTTTATGCTAAAAATACATTTTCATCAATAAAAAAAGTCTTAATGTATAATTAATAACGTTCTACATGGAATTAGATCTTACAAACTTCGATTAAGCTAATCGATCGATTAAATTTCATTATTGCCAACTGCTGACTGAAAATATAAACTAATTTTCTGGCAGCTGTGAAGAACAATGTGATAATAATAGCACAGGTCCTTATTAATGGCAATTCTCAATCGTGAAAAAGCATAAATCGAGCATGGCTCCGCCAGAAAATAATGTTTTCAAGTCTTGCAGTCTTGGCAATATTTAATTGACCGATTAAGACAACGATCCACTTGATGCTACAAATTTTCTATGAAAAACTATTCTCCTGCTTAAAATTTTCTATAAAAAATTATAGGAACATATGGAATTTGTATAATTATTTATAGTTTTCAATAGTTTTTATAGTACGAGAACGACTAAAAAATTCTATGATTCAGTTATCAATAAAATTCAGTTATCAATAAAATTCTATGATTTTCTATTTAGTATTTTACTTATTAAACTCTTATCAACTTTTTACAATAAAAGTTATTCTACAATATGCTCTTTGTTTCTTGTTTCTTGTTTTTTACCTTTTGCTTTTTTCTCTTTTGCAACCGTTTATCAACAATTATATCTTTTGCGACGTATTTCTTGTTTCTTTCGAAGTTCGTTAACTTTTATTTTGGGCGATAAAACAAAAAACCGGATTAGAAGCAAAAAGACAAGATGTAAAAAATAACAAAAGGTAAGAAACAGGAAACAAAAAGCACATTGTAGAACAGGCTTTATGATGTTTCATGTACAATACCGACCTATAGGTCTACGATTTTCTATGAAAGTCGAAATTTTTTATGAGAAACAACTTATTGGCCGTTGGCTGGCCAATGTGTTTCAACAGATTTTCTCATATAAGTTTTGGTGAATTTACTAGAAGTCATCAATACTGTTCTATGTAGCATTACATGCATTCAGTGATCTATCGGTAATAATAGGAAATATCCCACTGTAATGCTTATAGGTTTTAATAGCTTTTTAATTTCTTGAAAACAAAATTATGGTAAGTAATTATTTAGAAAATACTTCTCACCTTCAATTTCAATGAAATTATTCTCATTTGACGCGTTTTTGCATGAAACGAAAGAATCCGATAGTAAAATGTTGTGCCTAGTCCCGTAAATCGAGCGTTAAAGTTAATTAAATGTTAAAAGAAATTTATCACATTGACTTAATGCAGCTCTACACTTTACACTGTTAATAGATATTTATTTAGATTCATTACCTCATCTCCGATTTTAATAAAATTAAGACTCAGTCGACACGTTTTTATTTAAAACGAAAGATAACTCTGTTTTGCAACAAGTTAACTTTTAAAGTTTTAATAATTTTTAAAAGTTAACTTTTCGCAGATAGCAAAAGCAGAACAGTCTTTCATTTTTAATAGAAACGTGTCAAATAAGCCTAATTTCATTAAAATCGGAAGTAAGATAATAATTCTAAATAAATAAAAATACGTACACATAACGCTGCATTAAGTGTGACAGATTTCCTAATCTTAACAGTCGTCAACTTTAACGCTTAATATTTCGGTTCGCAGGACTAGGCACATTTTACTACTGGATCCTTTCGTTTCATGCAAAAACGTATGAATAAGCATAATTTCGTTGAAATTGAAGATGTCTTTTAAATAATTACACTAAACTAATTTATATAAGAAATCAAATAACAGTCGAATTGTTTTAAATTGTCTACATATACGTGCGATTAGAGCTCAAAGTTAGCGTGTAAGATTATTATTCCATAGGTCTTAGGCTCTTAGGTTCAAATCTTGTCAAAACCCTGTGCGTTTTCAGAAATATGTACATGCATATAAATGTTTGGCATATCTCAATCATGATGAATATATGATATTAATATAAGAACAAAAAGTATTTTTTATTTCTTATATTTACATCATTTTTGCATTTTGGTATCTAATAGGTGTGAATCGAAGTGAAATCCCTATTGGAAATTCTTGGAAACTATACATTACTTCACATAGAAAACTATTAGGGATAGGGATTTACCGATTCAAAATGCTCATTAAAAGCTATAGAGAGAACTTTTTCTACAGTTTTCTATAATAAATTTTAAGCAGAATAATATTTCGAAGCATTTTTTTTATTGGATAATTAATGAAATTCTTTCTTCTGATTGGTCAGTCAAATGCTTCCAAAGCGTTTGTAGCGCCAAGTGGACCACCCCAGATAGCAAAGCGATATTTCAGCAAAATCGCACAAATATGATTGCTTATGCTAATCTATGGCAACTTGCCATAGATTTGTCTTCAACGATTTCGAATATACCGACATTGCAACATGCAGGCAACAGTATGTGTACCAGCAGTTTAACAACAAGACAGCAGCATCAATATTATCTGTGTTGTCGGTATATGACAGCATTGTATGATGCTGCATATTATTATATCAACATGATGGCAGTAGTACAAATTTTAATGATGATTTTAAAGTTGTTGGCAAATTGCTGGCAAGTTATTATTCAAAATTACATCGTGAAGGCATCAAGCTGCCAACAAATGAAGATTCAGTTGCTGCAATTCTGCAAGCAACACATGCTTAGCAATATATAGCAAGCAATATGCCAGCAACAAGACATACACGTTGCTATCTGGAACACTCTATGTTAATCGAAGTTTATAAAACCATCTCTTATATCTATATCAGGACGGCACCTATTATGGAAATCATGAAGTCAGAGAGAAGGAGATCCAATTAGCACGCAAACCGAAAAAGCGATCCTGATTTGTGATCCCTAATTAGGAGAAAGTCCACTGAAAGAAATGGAATTCTGTAATTGGGTGTCATTTTGAGGGTCATTTTAAAGCATTCGTAAAGTGGAGCCTATAAAAGCCAATAAAATTCGTAGCGATCGTAGGATTTTAAATCGTAGAAAATTAACCAATCATAATCGAATATGAGAAGTATAATCGACTATGATTGGACATAATTTTCTACGACTTATGATTCTGCAACTGTTATGATTATTTCTATTGTAAACCCCTGGTATTAGATGTCCTTAGTGAAAAAATGTCTCTGAAAATTTCGCTGTAAATGCCTGAAAAAATTTTTCAGAGATTTTCAATAACATTCAAAGACTTTCTCAATGAAATTCAGGCATTATTAGGGATTTCTCTGAAAATTATTTCCAAGTGTCTAAAAGTCTTTGAATTTCGTTGAAATTCGGGATTATATTACAATAATATCTCTCTGAAGAGAGAATTTTCATAATTTGTCACTTTTTAGAGACTTTCAGCGATTTTTTGAAAATTGTTAAGAGTCTGAAAGTCCTTGAATTTCGCGGGAATTCAATAATGTCTCTGAAACTTAAATAGACAATAAATAATACACTCATCAATTAAAGAAGTGTAATACATAACGCAAAAACCCCAGAAGTCTCAGGTTCGAATCCCAGGTGAGTATTAATCCTCATCCTAGGTAAGTATTTTTCAAAATAATTTCAGGTAAAATCATTACACATAGAACAACTCTTTTAAAAGAAGAAAATAAAATTTATAAATCTTAAAATATAATTTTTTTTTCGAATATCATAATGAAAATCTCTTAAAATCTTTGACAAATTCTGAAGATCTATAAATATACTGTAAAAAATTTTACGAAAATCATTAAAAATCACTGAAATATTTTAACAGATCTCTGAAATTATACTGAAAAATTCTTTGAAAAATTCTGCAACATCCGAAAATACTGATATTTTCAGGAAAATTTTCAAACTTTTTCAGAGAAATTTTCGGAAATTTTTTCACAAGTGTATACGTAGCGTCGCTGCATGTATTTGTTGCTTCAATTTGTGATTATAAATTCAAATATCTTTATCTAAATATCTTTCTAAAAATGTAATGCTCACAGATGCGATTTTTTTTTACTGAATTCGTTGATGTCTCTTGAAACAATTCCATTGGCATGCCAATTATTGAACATTTTTTCCAAGCGAGTTACAATAAGACTACTCTTTCTTGAGCATTTTTGCTAGTACATCCACATATCTTAACATGCCATTTTATCAATATTACAAATATTAAATACACAAATAATATACAGAGACTGAGAAAATTTATGACTCAGCAAGACTGAGATAAGGCTGATCTGTTCGAGGAAGGTTAATTAAAAATGGCGCCTGATTATAGAAATCCCTTCTTTTCAGCGGACTCTCTCCCAATTAGGGGTCACAAATTCTATTTCATAGAGTTTCCGCACCTCCTTCTCTCTTACTTCTTCAAAATGGAAATGTTCTGAATGGATTCCGATCGGAATTATTTCGTTTAACTCTAGATATTTCTAGATGAGTTATGAACAGTTCGATTGTTTCCGAGTTGATCGGAAAATTTCCGGCACCTCAACTTTTTAAAACAGAAAATTTGCATAGAACAGAATTTGTGTAACCTTCTATGCTATCAATATGACAGATTTCCTAACCTATCAACCTTAAAGCTGATTCTACAATGAGTCGATAGTCGGTAGCCTTTCTAACACGCATTCTACAATAAGCCATTAGTCATAAATCAGAAGTTAGAAGCTGGAAATTAATCAATCACAAGTCATCAATTTCCAACTTCTAACTTCTGATTTATGACTAATGGCTTATTGTAGAATGGCCATAAGACGGGGAGCAAAGATTGTTGCATAACGCATAATATAATGTATAAGAAAATGTACCAATTAAGTGTACCAATTCTTCGTTTCCTTTCTTTCCATAAAACAATAAACTCTGATTGATTGAATTTCTTATGAATGTCTTATGTCTTATCGATGAGGATGTATCAAATACAAACTTGCATAGATGCCGCATAAATGTATTAAGCACATTAATCATGTGCGTTTTTATAGGAGAAATGCAATTGGATAATTTTTTTCATACGTTTATGCGGCTATGTAAAGGATTAAGC